TCAAATAGCCAAAGTCACACCCAAAAATCGAAAAATGGTTCACATCCATCACCCAAACACCCCAATAATAATACCGAGTATATATTTTTTTGAACTAAAATACCGAATATATTAATATTAACAACAACAATAATATTAATAACAATTACAATAATAATAATAAAAGGAGCCAATTTGAGAAATTCATGTTAGTTGAATTAAAATTTCGAGTAGAGTGAAGTCAGTGAACACTAGATTTCATGGAAGCTCGCACTAAAATTCACTCTCTTAGCGAGGTGAAAGGATACGTTGTATGCAAAAATGTAGGTTGATTATAGGTTAGATTATTAAATCCATGCTCCGGGGATTATCAATTATCATTTCCCACCGTTGAGAGTTGAGACTTGAGAGGACCAAAGGAACACCTTTAGCGGTGGATAGCCGGAGATTTTTTCCCACAGTTGAGAGAACGCGAGTATCATCCTACGGAGTAATAATCTTTCACGAATTCTGCCTCTACTGGAGCTGAAAATCCTAAAATATTGAATGAGATATGGCCGCTTCATCCATCACCCTCTCAACCCAATTCCTTCACCTATCCACGCCAAGAACAAGAGTGTGCCTTTCTTCCTGTTCTCTTCCTCCTCCTTCTCGCAGGACCTATGGATTGACAAAGTCTATCCCGATCCTAATACCGGTGTCGCAGCCCAAGAATCGGAGGAAAATTCTGCTTCTTTCAGTAGCTGCGGTGGGTAAAACGCCGTCCGAGGCTGAAGGTATGGTGGGGGAGGATTCCGCAGAATTCGACTTCTCCAAACAGAAAACTTCATCCTGGGTTTATTTCACTGTGATTCTCGCGGTTGTTCTCTATGCTCTCTACTACCTGTGGATAGATAACTCCACCGGCTTCGGCAAAAGCTTCATCGACGCCGTTTCTACCCTCTCAGAGAGTCACGAGGTTCAACTCTGTTTTATTTAAATGTTATGTCCTAAATAATTTCACATAATTATATTAAATATATTATGCGGAGTACGTGATAAAAAATTAAAAAAATATATAATCACTCCGTATATGATACATTATGATACACATACTATTGTTAATAAAAATATAATTGAAGTACTGGCAGGAGTGGCAGCCTAATTTTACAAAAAATAGCGATGGACCTTGGCACTAGAGAAAGCTAGTAAAGCTAGTGGTGCCTTAAGGAGACTCAGACACATGCCATAGATGAGTACTTCCCCTGAGGAGGCCAGTTGCCCAGACTGCCCCTGAGGGGGAGAACCAGACTGCTGGGCTGTGGTTGGTGGTTGGGTTCTAGTTGGTATGATTCTACACCGTGTACACTATTTGAAGGTGCATCCCTGAGTATTGCAGGCTTGGTAGTAACTCACTAACTCATATACAGGCGAGATGAACAACCACCACGTTCTCCCCAGCATTCGCGATGACAACCACGACCACAGCCCGGGGAGTTGTGCTTGACAGAAAGGGCTGTGATCAGAAAACATGATCCAGGTTGCATAACTGACAGAGTATTTCTAATTCTCAGTTGAGTAGCGCTTCAAAAAGAGCAGTAAAACATACTGTAGTATCGCAATAGTTGACTTTCTCCATAATTCATTTATAGGGGTTGTCAAGGCCTTCAGATATGCATCAATGAATCCCAATTATGGTCCCTGCTTACCGAAAAGAGTCCTATTAGGAAACAATGAACCATCGTAGCTCTTGACCTATACAAGAAAGCTGCATCTACACATGAACCCGTAACAGAGAGGTCACGGGTTCAAGTCTTGGGAGTGGATTCTTGTCAAAATGACAAGGGAAGACTTGCCCCCTATACGGTGGGGCCGTGGGATCTCTTCTTGCAGGGACGTCAATGTGCACCGGGCTGCCCTTTCATATATTCTTGTTGGGTGTCAACTGTGACAATTTTAAATTTGACATTTTATTAAATTGGGAATAAAGTTTTGAGGCAGTTCTAAACGGAGAGTGGATAAAGGTCATTAATCAAACATAGTGACACCAATAAAAGACTATGAGGTTGCAAAGAGCCACAATTGGGCTAGGTCTGCAAGTAGTAGTCCATTTATACTATTGTAGTCCATTTATGCAAGTAGTGGTCCACTATTGTGTTGATGTATCATTGTTGATCCTCTTTGTTTTTATTTCTTCAGATCATAATGTTCTCCCTTACTCTGATCTTTGCAATAGTACACAGTGGACTCGCTAGTCTTAGAGACCAGGGGGAGAGACTCGTAGGAGACCGTGCTTTCCGTGTATTATTTGCTGGAATATCTCTGCCATTGGCGGTTAGCACTATTGTGAGTTCTATATGATTGAACCATATAATCTTTTACTAGGACCTTATCCGGGAAAAAAAAATCCCATTGCAGCTATGCTCCTGTTATAACGAAGTGCTTCATCAAATGTTTCAATGTTAGGTGTATTTTATCAATCACCGATATGATGGGGTGCAGTTATGGCAATTGCAGAGCTTTCCTGGAGTGCATCAGCTTGTTTGGTCTTCTAACTTCATTTCTTTTTTACTCCTCTCCCCATCAACCTTTAATCTGCTAGAGATTGCAGCTGTAGATCGGCCAAAAATGCATCTTTGGGAAACTGGGATCATCAGAATTACTAGGCACCCTCAGGTATGAAACCAATCAATTATCATCGTCACTCAGATGTGCATTTTACACGTGTTTTTTGTCATACACATTCATATAAAGGAAAAGGCTCGAATCCAAATCAACATTCTGGAATGTGTTTGAATGGTTGTACCTTTTCCCGCACCAGGCTGATATGTATGCCTGCTCCAGAACCCGCCATCTGGCTCCTGACAAAATACACCACCCCTATAGAATTGCAAAGTACCCATGAAACGAGTTGTACTAAAAAAGGGCATTTTGGCATTCTCAATGAGATATTGGCCCATGGGGCATGCTAGGCGCCTGATGGGCGGTATTGGAGTAGGTATGATTATGAGTACCTGAGATCCTTGAGGTACACACACATTGGCGCCTTTGAACACACTGAGACCCCTGAGGTACAAACACACAATGGGCATGCTAGGCTCCCTTGGGGGCTATTAGCGTACCAGAGGTCCCTGACACTGACTCACACACATGTTACAGGTTTTGTTGTTAAAATGTACTCCACAATTATTTTCTTATATCTGACTCAAAGACACAGAAACTGCTCTGTTTTAGTTGTTTGTTGGAATCAGTAAAGACTTCATTAGATTTTGCATGATAACTTATGGTGTACAAAATGAAAAGGGTTAATGATAGACGGTTTTTCATTTTGCACTACCATCTCTTACTTGATAGTTCATCTCACCTCAAGTCTTAATATTTATGTCCTGTTTGTTAGTTCAGACTAGAAATAACTATGAGTTGGTGATTAATTAGATCATATCATCTTAAATGCCTCCACAGTTAATTAGAAATAAGCACTTAAATGTACACATTGTTTAAAAAAACAAATACCACATCTCTCCTGCCAGACTGCCAGGGTACACTCGAATGGAAACTGACGTTGTTGTCTGTATCACAGATGGTTGGACAGGTGATATGGTGCCTTGCACATACCCTATGGATTGGAAACTCCGTCGCAGTGGCAGCATCAGTGGGTGTGATAGGGCACCATTTGTTTGGGGTCTGGAATGGTGACCGTAGGTTGGCAACCCGATACGGGGAAGAGGCATTCAATGCTGTGAAGAACCGGACTAGCATCGTCCCCTTTGCAGCCATTCTGGATGGTCGCCAAAAGTTGCCAAAAGATTATTACAGGGAGTTCATCAGGTTGCCATACCTGGCCGTAACTATATTGACATTAGGTGTTTACTTTGCACACCCACTTATGCAGGCTGCAAGCTTCCAGCTTCACTGGTAGTTATGCTTAGTTGATAATATGCCACTCTCTTGCCACCATGTAAACCCGAATGGGATGTGGGTAGGGTGGATACAAATTAATAAATAAATGTTCACGGATGTAATCCATCATCTATAGTAATAGATTCATGTTATTTGTCTATTCCGGCGCCTTGCCTACGATTCTAAAATTGAATGCAAATATGACATCATTGACTGTTAAACATAAACGATAGGGATATGATTATGAAGAAGGGCAGCCGAGTGCACAAAGATATCCCGTTAGGAAGGGTCCAGGGAAGGGCCCCACCACAACGGTGTATAAGGACAATTTGACAAGAAGCCGCTCTCAAGACTTGATCGGTGCACCAAGGCTGTCTTTGGGAACTATAGAGATAAGCTCCCAAAATTCAATCATCCACATAAGAAAATTGAGAGAAGATGGTCTGCAAAAACTGTTAGCCAGCGTCTAATTTAATTCATATTTGAGATTTTTTATGCTTTCACTACCCAGTACCCACACAAAACTCTTATTCAACCCAACATTTTTAAATTTTTTAGTCTAAAAAGCAAAAATATAAATGTAATTAGTCACATGCTAGTAACATTTTTAGTCAAATATTCAATTAAAATAAATGTAATGGATAAAAATGTGTTAAATATTGCTTGAACAAAAGGGTTAGCACAAAATATAACCTAAGTTACTAGAAGCATATCATCATAACTACATCATAACTACAGTCTACAGTGTAAATTAGAACTTTATCGTTATCACTAAAGTTATTTATATAATGTATAATGGCGAAATTCATACCAATAATCTGTACTTTTAATGTTTCTATAATAATAATTTCTACTGAAAAAGACAATACAAATAATCCAAACTCTTAAATATGTCTAGATAGATAGATTAAACCTTCCATGAGTAGAAGTCCATCCACCCGGTTTTATAAATCCTTTTAAAAAATTGTAGTAGTAATGATATAAAAAAGGGGGATTTGACTTTGCACCCCACTTTTCATTTTTTGGGGTCATATTGGACTTTGCACCCCATTTTGTAAAAACTTTGACTTTGCACCCCATCATATAACATTTTGTGTATAAAAAATACTGAATGAGGTGCAAACTCAAAGGATTATTAAGTGAAATGGGGTGCAAATTCAAAGTTTTTTGAAAACGGGGTGCAAAGACCAATATCATCCAAAAAGTGGGGTGTAAAGTCAAATTCTCCCTATAAAAAACTCCTCTAAACTCAAGTTTATGGCAATAGTGAACAAAGTCACTACTATATGCTTATATATTAAATATAAAAAAGATCAATCTAATTTATCTATGTAGATGTGCTTGTGAGAATGAATTATTTGTATAAACATCTTTGGTAGAGATTATTATTGTAGAACTGCTAAAAGTACGGATTATTGGTATGAATAACTTTAGTGATAACGATAAAGTTGTAATTTACACTGTAGTTATGATGATATGCTTCTAGTAACTTAGGTTATATTTTGCCCTAACACTTTTCTTCAAGCAATATTTAAAGATTTTTATTTTATTTAACATTGTAATGATCATATTTTTGTTTTGAAACGGGTGAGGTGCTATATTATTTACGGAGTATTATTTAGAAAAGATTTTATATAAAAAATTATTTTTGCACCACGATTGTATGTTTTTACAAATAAAATTTTATTTGAATAATTACAGAATTTAAAATACTCTAATCTTTGTTAGAATGCAGTTAACAATATGAAATTTCATTTGTTAGTTAAAAAACATTGAGTTTTTTTTCCGTATTAATGTTAATTAATTAAATAATTACGGAAATAGGGTTGGGTTAAAAGTATTTACCAATATACTGCTGGGTTAACCATGGTCGGGGTAAGTCGCCAAACGGTTGGGCGACTTACCCATCAAATAAACTGACGGGTTGGGAAAGCCGGAAAGGCCAGACTAACACATTTCATCCCCAAATCCCCCAAAGCTGCAGCGACGAAGGACGAACGACGAACGACGACCAGACGAGAGCCACCTCCAACTCCGGCGAACCACCATCTCCGGCGACGCCACCTTGCCAAGGCCTCTCCACTTCCATCTTCTTCAACACTCTTTCTTCTAGGTAAATGAAACTCCATTTCATCTCATTTTGAAGTTAGGGTTTAGAATGTTAAAATTTTCGAATTTATAGATTATGAATTGATTTGTTGTGAAATGTGGATATGTATGAAATGTTGAAATTTGATATTAAATTGATTGTAAATTTTAATGTGTATTTTGACATTTGGGTAGATTTGAATGTAGCTAAATTTGGGTATTCAAATGTAGACTTGAATGTAGATATCAAAATTTGGGTATTTTGATATTGAAATGTGAATTGATTGTGCATTTTGACATTTGGGTATATTAGAATGTAGCTAGTTTTTATTTATTGAAAATTTGAATGTGTATAAACTGTGTATATTGATGTGTAATCATGAAAGTTGGACATGTATTATATTGTTATTAGAATATGGATTTCTCCAACTTCCCAATCGTGTGTCATTGGGGAGACAACTATTATGAAGATGATGAGCAAATACACATTGAAGGTGGTAGAAGCAGCTTTGTCATTGTTTCTCGTGACGCTTGCTTGCTCGAGATGCTTTAAAAAATACATGCAGCTACAATGATTACTCCGACTAGTTCTTTGCGTTTGAAAATGAAATTTCCAATGAACGGGGGAAAGTACATGTTTATGCACCTAACTGATGGACTATCTATATCAAATATGTGGTCTATAATTGAGATGGAGGCTATGTCCACCCTGGAGATATACATTGAGGACTCCATATGTGACACATCTGCTACTCCATCAACATCAAATGTTGCTGTATCTAGGCATGGTGTGAATGCATGTGTGAATGCAGGGAACTCCTCGCATGCTGCTGTACTGGACATGGTTGTAGAGAAAGAGGGTATGTATTTGCACAATGGTGCATCATTTGTGGATGGGCAAGACACTGATGATGATGCTGACGAGAACATCAATGGTGATGACATGACAGAATTTGATGAAGATAATGGTGATACTGTCACGACAACTGCCCCCTCTAGCCACTTTACTAGAATATATATGATCTCCCTGAAGGCTTTACTGATGTGTGGATGAGTGGATCAGGTATGAAAAGGTTTACCCCCGAAGGTGAGTTTGAGGTCGGTCAACAGTTTGACAACAAAGAACAAGTCATCAATATGGTGAGCTTGTATTCTATCAATCGGAACCAATTTTATCGGGTGATGGAGTCCGATAAACACAAATGGGTGGCGCAGTGCAAAAGGAAGAAAGAATGTGATTGCCCCTGGAGAATACGTGCCACAAAGAACAAAGGCAACCTTGACAGCTTCACAATTGTGCGTTATCCGGGACCTCATTCTGCTATGTGTGTTGGCAACACCGATAGTACCGATCACGTGGCTTTGACTTCAGATTTCATCTCTAAAGATGTGATTGACATTGTCCGCACTGATCCTTCCCTTAAAGTGCATACTATCATTGAGATGCTGAAGGAAAAGTATGGGTATACAGTATCATACCGGAGAACATGGATGGGGGAGCAAAAGGCCATATCAGAAATATTTGGCGGTTGGGAGAAGACATATTCTGAATTGCCCCATTTCATGACATCGCTCCAACATTCAAATCCTGGAACTGTTGTGCATTGGTACCCACCCCCTAATGCTCCCACAAGTTATATGCGGTTTCAAAGAGTATTTTGGGAATTCAAGCCTTCAATACATGGTTTTAAGCATTGTCGACCCGTTCTTACTATTGATGGCACACACTTGTATGGAAAGTACAAGGGTACATTGCTCGTGGCTATGGGTTGTGATGCGAACAACCAAATATTTCCAGTGGCCTTTGCAGTTGTTGAATCTGAGAATGGGGATAGTTGGCCATGGTTTATGGCATGTATTAGGGAGTTTGTCACTAATAGGGAGTTGTGTGTCATTTCTGATCGACATGCAGGTATTGTCAGGGCAATGAATGAGGTGAGCAGTACTTGGGAGGAGCCTTATGCGCACCCTAGGCTATGTATCCGCCATCTTGCATCAAATGTGCACACTCATTTCAAAGACACTCACCTAAAAAATCTTTTTGTCTGGACCGCTCGGCAACATCAGAAAAAGAAGTTTGATGGTGGGTTCAAGAAGATAGGGGAAATGAGATTGGAGGCACGACAATTTATGGGGAACATTCCCCCAGAAATGTGGTCATTACACCACGATGGCGGGTACAGATACGGTACCATCACTTCTAACCTGGCTGAGGTTTTTCAACAGCTTGATGAAAAATGCAGATATTTGCTCATCACCGCTTTGGTCCAGGTTTCCTTTTATCGGGTTAATGCTTATTTTGTTAATAGGCGTGAAACCAGTAAAACAAGAGTGACAGAAGGCCACCAATACTCCCCGCACATCACAGATTTAATTGAGAAGAATAGAGAGAAGGCCAAGCATCACGCTGTTACTCCATTTGATTTAGGCCGAGGGGTATACCAAGTGGAAACAGATTGTGGTGGCCGAACGTTGGGGAAGAGTGGCAGAAAACAAACTGTCCATCTACAACGGCGAACTTGCACTCGTATTTTGATCAAGCAGCATGCGAGGACATATATTTTGATGATGATGGGAGCTTTCATTTTCGCTGACAAGAGCGGAAATGAGATTCAGGTGATGCATTTGCCTATGCTAGAGAGGTTTGATGTAGCAGCACAGATCAGCTGGGGTAGTGCCACGCTGGCTTATCTCTACAAACAGTTGTGTTGCGGCTGCCATAGAGGGAGCACGGAGCTTGGATGATTTTTGCTACTTCTCCAGATTTGGTCATGGGAGTACATCCACATTGGACGTCCCATTATAGTGGCATACCATGGCATTGATGGACACCCACTTCCTGATGAGCCTCCACATCTCCTGGGACCACATCATGTACGGGGCGAGGACCCTCTGGGCCGTCAGTATGTTTTAACTCGTTTGTATTTATGTTATTGTATGTTGAATATAAATATATTAATAATATTCATATTCATATATGCTACATAAATGGTTAGATGGCTATTTGCTGATCTATCTCGCACTTCATCGGCTTCTGGGCTTGGTGTGTACAAGGATGCATTCGATCGGATGTCTAAGGATCAGGTATGGTGTGCGTAATATAACATTAACTATAATATGTATAACATAAATACTAATCTTGTATCTTTATGAAACATATTACATGGTTGTCATATACAGCTGAGATGTTTGCAGAGTTGGCCCCCGCTGGACGAGAGCATTCTCACATATGGCGAGCATGTGTGTCGTTGATATGTTTTGACATTGTTGAGCTGCATTTGCCTGATCGTGTATTGCGACGGTTTGGGTTTGAGCAGGTCATTCCAGCACCTATCGACACGTATGTAGAGCTTCATAGGCTGGATAGGCGTGGGAAGCATATGGAGGATTGGGCACTAAGACATGTCCGATATGTCACTCTCTGGGATAGGCGAGCTGAGCTAGTTGTGACTGGGACACCGACATTTGTCCCATATGTTTCAGGAGACTACATGGGATGGTATTACAACATCACTCGTTTGTTTGTGTCTCCTTCGTTCAGACTCCCTTCTCACCATTACCAGCCTAGCTCCTTGGCTTTGCATCTTATGGTGAGTATATTACTAATTACTAAAGTAAGTCATTTTCTTTATTTAATACTTTTATTTATTTCTAACTAATTGTAATTGTGTTTCATATTCCAGACACGAGCTCTGCAGCGTATACATCAGCGGGCTACTGCCACAGTGAGTGATACGCAAGACGTGGACATGTACGATCAGGCTCTGACGGGCATTGCCTCCTTGTGTTTAGATGTGTTGGGGCGAGTCGACTACGGCTATCTTATACACATGCCCTCATCTCAGGATATGCCATCGATGTTTAGTGCAGCGACGGCTTCATCATCCCAGAGTCAACATGAGAGAGTGGTTCTTCAACCACGACAACGACATAGGCGTAGGCAGCAACAGCAACATCTCCATGACCAAGACGATCACGATGACCATGACAATTTGTAGTTTGTCTTTTGTATTGGAGTTTTTCTTGTACACTAGATTGTAAGCACAATTGACTTTATTATACGTATTTCCACCTCTAAACTCTTGTATGATGTGTTATGAATATTGGATGATTGTACTCTGTTTTACCGGTTATTGATGCAGCGTTTTGTATGTTGTTGAGAGCAGGTGTTATGTATGTGTTTGTGAGCAGGTGTGTTGTATGTAATGTGTTGTATCTGGTTTGTAACCCCTAAATAGGACAGGGACACCTTATTTTGAGCAAACATATGAGTTTGGGCTGAACCGGTACTAAAAAGGTGCTGAAATGCACATTTCGGAAGTACGCACGATCGTGGCTAGGGACGCACGATCGTGCGTGGCTGGCGGTAGCTGCTAGTCTTCGTTCAGATGGAAGTGGTAAGTCGCCTAACGGTTGGGCGACTTATAAGTCGCCAAACCAGATGACGACTTATAAGTCGCCCAACCGTTGGACGACTTTCCCTAACCATGGTTAAATCCGGCAGTAGATCGGTAAATACTTTTTTTCCAGCATTATTTTCGTAATTAATTAATTAACATTATTTCGAAAAAAACTCAAAAATATTACACCCCTTATAGTTTAATTTATAATGCATCTTTATAAATGTTTTGTGTATTTTGAATTATCACGTACTTAATATCGTAAATTTGCATTTATGAAAAATAATGATCATTTTATTAATATAACTTTTTATATAAAATTTGAGATTATTTGTGTTGAGGTTTATTCCTTCAACCCTTGGACCCAACACGTAAGCCCAAAGATTTCGAGTGGAGTAAGCGTAAGAATATCTAGCCCAACAACTATGAGATGGATCAGGAAACAAAAGTAATAGCAGGCAATGTAAATAGGTATTATTAACTTCGTAATAACTCCCCTAAGTACAATCTACTTGCTAAAAAGGGCACGTCGGCCGTTCGTCTTACAAGGCAGTAGAGATGCTGCGAGTAAGAATACAATAGCCAGAATGCTAAGAATAGAAAGTTGCCAACCCTTTACAATGAAATAAATGCTTCTATTTATACCCACCAATGGGCAGGTGGCTGTACTGACGTGGCAGCCTGTGGACCGCTGGTGTCCCAACTACCAAATCTTTAGCATTAAATGCACTTCCCGCCAGAATCTAGGTTTCCCGCCTGATTAGTGGGGACGTTCGTCCTCCCGGGAAGTGAGTTGGATTGCTCCAAGTGACCCTCGAGAGATATCGGCTGTTCGTCTCCTGGCCTTGTAGATATTCACCATGTGAACTGGGTCCCCTCCGATGACTACAGGCTTGTCCCGGAGACGTTCGTCGCCATCCCTGGTGGCCCGTGGCCCTGCTCCTTGTCCCTGCACAGACGTTCGTCGGGATGAGTCTGCTGGGCCTGAGCCCCCAACACCAGACGCTCGTCCATCCTCAAGGGACATGGGCCTGTGGGCTGGCCCGGTGTTCTAACTGGACGTGCGTCTGGCAATATGGGTTAGTGGGCCGGACCTCGGCTTGGGCCCTTAACCCAACAATTTGTATATAATATTTGTGCAACTTTGGAGTATTTATCTCATACTCATCCGTTAAGATATTCAAAAAAATATCCAAAACCATTGACACGATTCATGTCATCATATCCTCAACATAGTTGATGAGGTTCACAGCCTTCTATTTTTGCCGACAAATGACCACTTAGATCTGTATCAGACTTCCAGGCGATCATCAAACAGCAGATTCCAAACACTCTGGCCTAGCTACACATCTTCCACAGTTCCACTTATCTGTTCCTGGCCTATACACTAGATAGGGACTTGCTCCTATAGGCCGTAGAAACGAGACGGCCGGAGAAACTTATCTGGTGATTTCATTCACCCATTCCTGCTACCCCAGAATTCTTCGGTTTCTATTTCGTGTTTTGTTCTATGAGGCCCATGAGGGCATAAAACATACTCTGTGTCTATTCTCCATACGTTTGGTTTCATTGTTTCTTGTATCAAACACCCCCTTCTCAATTCGAAAGTGCGCAGAGATACGAAATGTTTTCATGGAAAATAGTGATTAAATGTTTTCGATTTTAATTCCATGTGATTCCAGTTTTGGTTTTCCCGTGTTCTACCTTTTCATTTGTGATTGTATTAATAGTCTTTCTTTGTTTTGATGTTCTTTCGAGTGAATGCAGGGGCAGGAACAGATGGAGTACATGGAATGGGATGCTGATGGGGGAGGAGATAATGTTGTCAACGAGCTTGGTGGAGAAGACTATAATTCTGATCATGACGATGAAGACCTTGTTAATCAGGATTTCTATGATATGGTTAGTGATGCCCACCTCTTTGTCGTTTTTTCTAGCCCTCAATATAAAGCTACTTCTTTTATTGACCTATATTGAAAATGCAATCCTTTCTTAATGCCAGTGCAATGCTTCCATGGTTTTGCACAATTGTGGTTCATGTTAGTGTTGACTGAAAGTTTATTTTTATTTTGGACTGCTAAGTTTCAGTGAAGTGTATTTATAATATGCATCCAACTATGGTGTTTCCCTTGGATTTGTGAAGTACTAAAGTTGACCTGTTGTAATTGTTTTCTTCGTGTACTGTGTTTTGACTTGTTACAAGTTTTTCTTATCTACAATCTCGTAATATACATGAGTGTTAATGAGTACTCGGTTTGACTAGCTTCCCAGAGCATCGGATACGTCTGCTGCAGAAGCTAGGAAGGGGAAAGATGTACAAGGTATTCCTTGGGACATGTTGAATATTACTCGACAAAGCATAAGATTAACCAGGCTTGAACAGTACAAGAATTATGAGAACATACCCTTGTCTGGTGAATCTGTGGATAAGGTATACACTTACTTTTTTTCATTTTATATAATCATATGCTATTGTGCGTTTGTTTTACCAGTATAGTGAACCAGACTCATTTTCTTTACTGATCAATTGCAATGGGTGATAAGGAATGGAAACTAAAGGCGAAGGGTGCAAACTACTATGACTTTTTCTATAATACAAGAAGAGTGAAGCCTACAATTCTCCATTTTCAGGTATATTTCACACATATTCTGCATTAGCTTATAGCTGTTTTTCATTAAGTTCCGTCGTGCAGTGCATTTCTTGTTATCTGCGAGATTTGGTGTATGATGGTTCCTCCCTGTTTGCTTGCCTTTGACATTTGGTCCACTTTTATTCACTGAAGAGACATCATCTTTAAGGCATTGTTTAGATTTTGATATTACTTGACTTTCTATGAGCTCCAATAACTTTTTACCCTGCACCACTTTGCTCTTTTACAATTTGACACGCCGAGCTTTATGCATAACTTTTATGATTTGACACATCGACCTTTATGCATAACTTTTACAATATAACTACCTTGTAGTGGTTTATATTGGAGCGGAGGAAGTACATTCTATCTGATGGGTTCCATTTTTTCTTGCTCTATACATTTGATATTGCTTGTTTAAGAGTTATGTGACCTCTGTTCAAAACTTACAACTCTATTGGCCTAAAACGATAGCACTTCATGCAATTTGTTTGCAGCTTAGAAACTTGGTGTGGGCCACCTCAAAGCATGACATATATCTGGTGTCTGACTGCTCACTCATGCACTGGTCATCGCTATCCCACAACTTGTCAGAGGTTCTCAACTTCTCTGGACATGTAGTCCCAGCAGAGGTACTTGAGAAGTTCATGGGTCTTCCACTTTTCTGTTGAAATTGTTAGGCCCCCCAGACCAATTGTTACTGCTTAGTGTACATCAATTTCTCTTCCTTGGACGTGCAGAAACATGCAGGGAGCTTGTTGGAAGGCTTATCACAGACCCAGGTCAGTACATTGGCGGTGAGGGAGCGTTTTGTAGTTGCAGGAGGCTTCCAAGGAGAACTTATTTGTAAGGTGATTACACATTGACTTTCTTGTCTTTAGTAGTACTTTTCAATGTTCCCCCCCTTTCCTTTGACAACTCCGAAGAGCGTATGCAGCTTGCCATTGATAGATTATTAGTCTTTGCAAAAACTTAAAAAAAGTGCTTTTCAATATTTGTCTTAAAAAATCTGAAATGAGTGTTTTCAAGATTGTTTCCGCTTAAAAGCTAAAAGCTGGATGCATGTGGATGGGTGCTCTTAACTGCTTTCCACTTTTTTCTATTACACAAAAGCACTTTTTTACCAAACACTACCTACTTTTTTGTTTTCAAAACAATTTTTTGTTAACACTACTAACTTTTACTACTAAGCACTTTCTCAAAAATCATTTAAAAAAATCACTTTTTAAAGTAGAACCAATCTTAAACACCCCCTATGTGCTGAATGAATTAATTAACAGTCTCAACTTAAAATTTTTCAATCAAAATGGACCTGCATCAAAGTATATTTTGACAAAACACTCTTTGTATGGTAATACTTGAAACACTAAGCTATACACACTGTATTAATCATTTCTTTCAATTAGTAATATCTATGTAACATTGGTGATTGCATAAAAAATTTGACATAATGCTATTTGTTTTTATTGAATTGTTTCCCCCATCTAATATAATACGCAACGACCACCATGACCACTTCAATTATTTGATGGTGGCTACTGTTAAGGGCTATTCTAACATATAGGGCATGGTCATGCGGTATATTTATAAATATATAAAATGTAAAGACTTGTATGTAAATACCTCAAATGTACAACATAATTTTATATGCAGTTAAAACTACAATATAAATCAATTATAACACTAGTTATTCTCTAAAAATAATTACTAACTTATAGTATATAAAAAATAAAAATGCTTATTACTTTATCCATTCCTAATTTGGGTTCTCATTTTCTTATAGAATTTTCATTAATACCGTAAAAGTGTGTGGTTGAGATTTATTTGGAAAGAAGAGGAAAAATTAAGACCCACACATTATTTTCTTAAAAGAAAACAAGCAGGTAATTTTGAGACAAATGAAAGATGAAGGTGACAAACTAATTTGGGGACAAAGAATGATACTCCCTCCGTCCCATTCAAAGGTTCCCACTTTTTTTGGACATCCCATATAAAGGTTCCCATTTCTATTTTAGGAAGCAATTAACACTCCTAAATAAC